CTTGCTAAAAACACTTCACTTTGCATCAGATCTTTCCATAAAGGCGCTGCTAGCTACAAACCTGTACATGCAATTATAATGGGCCCGCCAGGATCTGGAAAAGGCACAGTTTCAGAACGAATTGTTCGTGACTTTGGATTGGACCATCTCTCCAGTGGGGACTTACTGAGGTCTCATATCCAAAATAACACCGATATAGGAAAAGAAGCGAAGAAATACATCGATAAAGGACACCTTGTACCTGACAATTTGATGGTTGATCTTGCATTGAAAGAACTCGAGCAACGAAAAAGTGGCTGGTTGCTAGATGGTAAATTCTTTTTATTGCTGTTGTTGTTTTGAGTTGTATGATATTGTGGTTAATAATCTTCTGCATCCATCACTCGATTGCGTATTTCATTTGTTTAAATGTGCATTAATGAACAACTTTAAATATACTCGTGCTGATTATCAGGACCGTTTTGTTTTTGACCATGCTGGCATTCGATTTTGAACGACTGTGATCTTCTCCCTCCACAGGGTTCCCAAGAACAGTCAGTCAAGCAGAAGTACTCTCCCAGAACCAAACAATCGATATTGTTGTTAATTTGGATGTACCCTTTGAAACAATAATAGAGAGAATAAAGGTACAAAAGCAATTATTTAACTTTTTACTGAATCTAACAATTTTACTTTGACGACCACTCGATTCTTGACAGCAACGTTGGATTCACTTCGCAAGTGGAAGAGTGTATAACCTGGAATTCAATCCTCCAAAAGTTCCAGTAAGTATATGCATTTCACAAAGGTGTCCTAATGAATGCTACTAGTTTTTTATTTTCATCAGCATTTTCTAAAAAAATCTACCAAAATCCAGGTAAAAAACTTCCCTTCCCTGGGTTATCACAGTCAGACTTAGCATTTGAGCAATCCATCTCCCTTCCCTCTGTCTTGATATAACAGATGCTTGAGGTAATTATTGCAAGCTTGTGTCAAATTGGAGTATAAATTTATCTTAACAAACTTCAATTCAAGGACATTTTATGGGGCCTACAAATGGTAGCTCAATATCATTGTTCAAACCTTGTTAAAATAGAAACCAGAAACTTTGATGTTAATTATTGATCAAACATTTTTTTGTGTATCCCTGAAAAGGGTAAAGATGATATCACAGGGGAGCCTTTAATACAACGAGAAGATGATAAGGTAAAGTATGTGATTCTAACCATGGCCTCAGTTTTCCTAGCCTTAATGTCACAACCCCACTCTGTATGGATTCTCAAAATAAACAACTTAGAGATCTCGTGAAAGTCGGTCATTTTTGGCCATTTTGGTGGGCTATAGCACATGCATTTTGATCAAAAATCGGTCATTTTTGGCCATTTTGGTGGGCTATAGCCCATGCATTTTTTCCATGTTTTTTTAATCCTTTTCTCAAATTTCTTTTGTAGCCTGAAACTGTTAAGGCTAGACTTCAAAAATATGAAGAACAAACCAAACCATTGATTGAATATTACAGGTAATTTGACTATATAAATCACAATGTTTATGCTGCAATGTACCTGATTTGTCAGTAAAACTGTCTATTTATTTATATATAGCAACCTCAACAAGCTACAGTCATTCGCTGGAACAGAAACCAATGTCATTTGGCCCATGGTAAAAAAGTACCTAGAGGAAAATTTCTTTAAGAATAAGTAAGGGACCTTAGTTGGCATTAGTTTGATCATCAACTGATTGGGATCCCTGTGGTTTCTCATATCTTAATGGTAACCCTGTGGTACTAAAGCTGAGGTGGACTGGGAATGCCAAATGTAATTGGCTGATGATGAATTTTATTGTCTGCGTGATGCTCATAGTTATTACAGTAATTTATAATATTATCTAGGAATAATTAATAATCAATAATAATCTTTTATAAAATGACAATACAATGAACCAAATTGCAATGATTTGCAATAACAATTATTGTGACATGTATGCATCATGTATGTAGTGTAGGTAGAATTTAATTTTAATTTTAAATGATAATTTAGTAGTCTTTGTTTACCAACAATAAAATGTTTTAAACTCGTTCAATGATGTATTTTTAACTTATTAACTAATAATAGATAAAGGAATAATAATGAACAAAATGAATGCTGCAAAAGAAAAAAACAAATGATTCAAATGGGATTCGAACACAGATCAAAAAGTTCTGGCGCGATAACTCTATACAATTATAGAGCTGAAGCAACGCACGCACTTACAAAACGGCTCACTGAAGATATCGGCAGCAACCTTGCTACAACCTCGCTAGTTTACAATGCTCACCCAGCAAGCCAGGCCAGGGAGGGAGAAACTAACCTGCCCCTAGACCACTTACAGTTAATTCCACGCATTGTGTCCTACGAGTGTCGTAGCAGACTCACTTTAGTACATATGATAGTACAACAACTGCTTTTGTCCTTTGGGATTTAGGGACATAGTATCGCACGCTATGTATGCGAACGAGTATCATCGGTCTTTCCGCGCCGCATATAGCGGAAGCAGTTTTCCCGTCAGGACTTACAGCTCAGAGCTTCACAGTGGCTGTACTTGAGAGATGTCAAGACCAAGATTATCATGTGATGTCTGCTTATCATTGGTGGATTTCTTTGCGGATTGGACTACAGAAATCACAGACGGCTGTCCACTACGGCTTAAAGTTGCTTGTACTGGATCGTCACTAACACTATGTACAGTGTTGGGGTCTTGACACCTGAACACACCAATAAACGCCTTTCTGAATTGCGGGTTCAAAATCCCGTATATAATCGGATTGATACAACTACTGGAGTACATAAGGTATATAGACACCGCATACACTCCCCGTGGGGGGTACCCACCGACTGTTTCGGTCAAACAGACGATACTTACAGGCATCCAGCAGCAGACATASCCACAAACAACCGCGAAAGTCGACTTAAGGATTTTAATGTCGGTGATTGAYGTAGCATTTGCGTTGCCRTGCGACGCCACRTTCCTTGAGCTTTGTTTGACAACTTTGTAGATTTTGTAGTAACATATGAAGATAGTTGTAGTAATGCCGTTGACGAAGCAACCAAGAAAGATGACAACGAACGAGATGTGGTGTTCCCATATTAGCGAACACGCAATAAACTGGCGGTGGTACTTATAAACTCCCCAGCCGTATACCGGCGGCATAGCAAAGAAYACCCCAACAAYCCATGTCAACGCGCAGTAAACTAACACCCTTTTCCTTGAACCAAATAAATCGTTATACTTCTGAGGCCTGACAATCTTAAAATATCGATTAATTGATATAACGGCCATTGTTGTAATCGACGCTGACCCAAAGGCGAACATCGTAGCCGCTTGRTAATCACAGACTTGTTGACTGAARATCCATTYTCCATMGTAAATACTGATGAACCAGAAAGGCATGTGAAATACCGCCATGCAAATGTCCGTCCAAGCCAGATTTTGAATGAAGATGTTGGTGACTGTTTTAAGTCTTGTATCTCGGTTGATGGAGATGACGACCAGGATGTTGCCGCACAAAGAAGCGGTCATTATAATTGAGCAGAACACGAGTTCTATAGCGATAGTTGACTTGGAGCGTCCCAGTGGATCGATGCCGTCTGTGGCGTTGTCTGTCACTGATGTCATAATGAGTTCAAGTTTGCAATAATGGGACGTAGTCCGTCTGAAAAGTTAAGCAACAGACGTTATATAGAGACGAGAGAACGACTTGGTTGATATGGGCGTACTCGGGAAAGTTCTGGCCACAATGATTGCCGAATGAAAACGGGCAACTATTTAAGTGTGTGAATTGCGCTAATACTTCTAAAAAAACACAGCTTTGATAAATTGCCCATTATAAAAAGAAAGGTGAAAACTATAGGATGTTGGCCCCTATGAGGAAGACACACCAACGCCCCGCGAAGCGTGTGTTTTTTCCTTTTTATACAATGGAGAATTTATCTTTCACGCTCCTCGATAATTTCCCTAGTGGTTTTAGCACATTAAATATCGTCAGATGGTTGTAGAATATCGTTTTGAGTTGATTTTGATTAATTACTAACAGCTTCGTAATCCAAGAAGACAACACTAACACTCTTAGACCTGTGAACAAACTGAAGTACAATATTGTTGAAAGTTTTCTGCCCTTCTTGTCGTGAAACCGCGGTCTCTTGAAAGCCAAATGGACAGTTTTAAAAGTTACAGTTAGCCGAACTGTTGTCAAGAGAATCAATTTCACCAAAGGCTTTGAGCAGTGATGTTTATTTTAAACAAATTCAATCAATATGTTTGAAACATGATTGCGCAAAAACTATAAGTGCAATGACGTCATCTGCAATTCATACAGAAACTACCCGCTGTGGAATTGCTGTCTGACATCACTGAAGAAGTTCAGCAAACACAAAATAATATTGTCATGTGTTAAGACCTTTAGCGAGTTTTAAATGGCGAAATATGCCTTTTCATTTTCAATTTGGAATGCTAAATTATATTTGCAAAAAAAAAATGGATTAAATTGAACTAGTGAAGTTTTGAAAATAGTTTTAAATTTTGGATTTAGTCCAATAAAATGCGCACCAAATAACATGATTTAGCAATAACATATTGCGATATAGATTCAATCCATCATATTGGTATATACTGCCAATATAGTTGTAGACAAATATCTTAGTTACCTGCCTTCCAAGTGCGCTGTTTTTAAGCCACTTAAATTTGATGTCACTTTCAATCTTAAAGGCTATGATTAACGACTTAACCCAATTTTGTTTTTTTTATTAGACACAATTTTACACATGACTTATTTATATACCAATTCAGAAAGTTGATGCCAGCTCAAAAAAGATTGCGATTTTGAATAAAATATTATATCGCGATATCGTGAAATTTATTTATTATTTATAAAATACTTTCTTAGAGTAGTTTGTTTAGAAGTTGTGCTTGATAATTCCCGCCCAAAAACGCAAAACGCACTGTGAGAGACCAAAGAACTCATTGTCGCATTGAAGAAACAATTTTTAAATATTGTCATACGAAAAAATTAAAATAAATAAAACCGTTCTAATAATATAATGTTTAATTTTGTTAGCGTTCTAATTAGATGTAATTTAACTTTGAAAAAGATCCGCGAAACATTGACTTGGACTGTCTGGATTACAAGCAAAACCACACAGCGGTCGAGGACAACAGAAAAGACTTAGGAACGATGCCAGGCGTTTGACATAAGCCATCGACATAAGTATAGCATTAACATAAGGCCAAGTATAAGCTAATTATAAGGACAAAAGAATAAACAAAGAAAACAATTTCATTTAGTGATCTTCATCCATCAGTAATCCCTAAATCTTCAGAGTTTTTAATGTTGTTTTTGTTGTTTTGTTTTGCTTACTCTCTTTATTTGTTCGCTTGTTTGTTATATTTTAATCTTGTACTATAGCGCAGCCTAGTTATACCTTTGACTATGTACCCGGGTGTTCAATTCAAATTTGCTGCAGTCTTTTGCCTTCATCAGCATCATCATTTAAGTTAGCTTCATCACACACACGAGAATTCGCATTTGAAACATTACCTAAATGAATTTATCATTCTCTAAAATATACACGTTAATACCTCCAAGTCTGAAGTCTTTCCTGTAGCTTTGAACTCAAATCGATAAGTCCTGTTCCACTTTGAATTCAACGCGTCAGTTTTTCAACTATGAGAAACTCTGGGATGATGCCAGCTTACACCGTTTAAAAGCGATTATATTTATTGAGCGTGGCGAGTGCATCCTTTCACGCCCTTCGACTATCAGCAGATTTAACGACTGAATGAAAAATAGTATAGAACGAGCTATTCTTAATTTTGAAGATTAACAATACTGTATTTGATGATGCACCTGCTACCCGAGCGGAACTCCATTGCAAACCGGCACTCTCCCATGCTAATTAATAATGATTCTAATGTCTTACTCTCTCACTTAATTCGCTGCCCCATAATGATGAAATGGAAAAGTCGACTGTTTTTCGACTCAATATCGATTAAGAATATATACTATTATGGAAATGAATCTATAGATGTGTTGGAAACTAAAATAATTAAACTAAAGTGAAAAGACTGAAGAAAAGACTTAAGCAAAAAGACAAGGGTTTTACAGCAAAAATTAAAGTGAAGATTAAGGATTTGCACCTCTAATCTTGTAAGCTTTGCCTGGCTTGATCTTTAGCCAGGAAGAGGTGTTAAAACAGAATATAATAAAAATCTATCAAAAGTTAATCCAAATTTATATGTTGGATTAAAAAAAACTGGACAATTATGAGATCATCAAGGCAAAACGCGCGCTGCGAAACGGCTTATGTTAATCTACCGGCTCTCCACAGATATCACACGCTTATTTTTGTGGATGAACGATTTCATATTAGAAAGTTAAGTGTGTCCTCGAAATACAAATTACAATATTATCCGTAAAATAACTCGTTTAGTTGCACCTTTTTACCACACCGCGCGGGAAAACTCTACGATAATGAGTCGTTMGAAGGCTTTATTTCAAATGTTTTCATGTGGACAAAATGYCGTGGTATATAGTTGKCCAAGCTCTCGTTTTCCGATATCATTGTTATCTGAATATAAAGTCATTATATCAGACAACCGAGGGCTAAAAAGGATATATCATAAGTAGTCAGGTTATCTCTTAAAAACACGATAAAATCACCAATCGTTTTTTAAGCGTTCTATTTTCAATTGATTTTTGTGGACACGAAAAAAAAACCCGCAGAAATTCCAATTTTACATCACGTAACTACTAGCTTTTGTCATATCATTCATAGCATCAATAGCATTTAGTATTTTTAAACGTAAAAGTAACGTCAAAAGTGTTTCGTGATCGTTATTTTAGGCGTTTTCGCTGCGTTCACTTGCGCTTTTTTAATGTGAGATGTTACGTCGTTTTCGTAGAGATTTGTACTGACAGTATTCCTGCGTTTCTGAGTTTTTTYAAAGCCTTTTCCAGCTTTTTTATTTGAAATGTTAACACCTTTGCAGCATATCATAGCTTTTTTGAAAATTATCGCACCGTTTTGGAAATGCTCGCAACATTTTTGTCGGTAAAGAATCTGAAACGTTGTGAAGTCAGGTACTTTTGAAACTRATATCCCTGAAACTAGACAGCTTCGAGGCAAAAATTAGTTCCAACTATTGAACATGGATTAAATTAACTCTCATGTGACGCACTTTCAATATTTCAAAATGCGCAAAAAAGTCACGTACCGGGAAAAATGATTTCACAAACCTTTAAAGACTTCTTGGGCTCCTGGAGAGAAAATGTTGGCTGTGGCGACGTGTAGACTTAATTAAACAAAGGATTTTATGAGAATGTTGTCTTAATCTCATCAGAGCGACTGCGTAATGTTTATGCTCTTAACACAAACCGTAACACATCGGTAGTATAAAACTTAATTGTGTTTATTCGATGTKCAAATAACCGGTGAGAWATGAAAAAATCTAGCAAACATTGGACAAAGCGTGTCGATAATAATTCATTAAAATGAGTGTTTTTTGGATGTAAAAAAGATAAATTTGAGTGTAAAGAGAGCTGYGAAGATGAAATAAAAAATGATTTTAAAGCCGGAAGAAAGAGAAGCTGTWAAAGTTTTTGAAAATAATGTTTATGTAGTCCGAAATTATATTGACCTTAATAAAAAAATACTACGATTACGTCTTTGTAGGACACTTAATATCTGCGGTAAATAAAACAAAATAGCTCAAAATACTTTGACATCAAAGCAAGAATRAARTGAATAGAAAATGACATGAAGTTTATTTTAAACCAAACAAAAGTCGTTTAAGCCACTTCACTAACCCCCGACATGTTATAAATTGAATCTTAAGATCGACGAACTTCACATGTTAATGACGACTTCGGAACCAGATGAATTTTTACAAACCCTCGCACTTTTTTTATGAAAAGGAACATATTCTAAGTGCTATGACAAAGTAATCTTGATAGTCAATTTGAAMATTTATGAACAAAGATGCTCTAATGAAAGACACCATATCTTTATTGCGTCTTAATATAAATTACTCCAACAAATATTTCTGTCACTGACAATATCATAAATTCATATGATATTTATTTAGTTTTTGTACAATATGATATATTTGGAACATTTTATAGGGATTAATTGTCGAAATAGAAAACAAATAGTGCATGTTTTACAACTCTCTCATAAATAAAGCTCCCACGAAGGCTGGCAGACYTTAAGAGAATTGACAGAAACTAGAGCTAGCACACTGGAGGAAAATTAAGAGGGATTTTTTTTTTCGATGTTTAGACCTTCTTCTTAATCGCGATCGAATGCATTAAAACACACCTGCTAGCTTTCGACGGAAAGCTTTTTTTACGCCTTATAAGCAAAGAAAACAAACGCATACCGTGCGTTAATTTGTGCGGRTGCAACACCGACAATATTTACGCAATGGAAAACGTAAGGTTAATTGATCACTGCGAACGCTTACCACTGAATCATTTCACTGAATGCAGCCTTAACATCGACTCGGTTGGTTTCATCAAACCATATTTTACGTCGAACTTCACACTGTGTATTAAGAGTGAGTTCGATCTATGAAACGAGAGCAACAGTTACTCTGCTTTAAAAGGCTCTATATATGCTCACACTATCAATTTTGAACAACTAAAATACGTACGTCAGTACCCGAGCCGCAGAGCGGAAACTATCAGGTTTGCCTTTAATAGCGCTTGCCATCTTGCCACGTTTAAATTAGAAATTTTGCCCGATGCCTGAGTACAGTGCCAAATGTTTGCTTTCAAAATAAACAAAACTAGAAACAATATCAGCATAGATTGCGTGTTGAAAATTTTCAAGCGCCGTAAAAAAACAACTGTTCCTCCCGCTTTTGAAAACCCTAAAAGTGTTACATTTTGGCGAAGATTTGTATTCTAGAGATCGAAACCGTATATTCGGTCTTGCTGGATGATCAATGTGAAGTGCATGTTTTTGCGCGCAGTAAAGTTTAATTAGTTTGTTACCAAAAAATAATCAAGCGATACTTTTCGCRCCAAAACAAAAACCCATGGGATTACGAACTGTTAATGACAGTCAATATAGAAAAAAAAAGGTGTTTAAAAACATACCAACCCTTTTAAGCAGCAAAAGACGTGATTCCGGTAGCTTAGTGCGCTAAATTATAAACCATTAAAATAGATTAAGCGTTGCTTAAGCCATAGTCTTAACCAGGTTATCTAAATTCGATCTCTCCGTGGGCGAATTAAAGTGCACGCTAATTATAAAATATAGGTTTAGCAATTAAAGCGTTTTACGTTGGTATAAGKTAATTGCGTCGATTGTATTTAACATTTTTCTTATCGTGTGTGATTTAGATGGTATCATTTAAGTAAATCTTTATATAAACAAAACACAAAAAAGCAGGACATTGTCGGAGACTGGTCAGGATTCTAAAGCCGCGAGAAAAAAAATGGCCAAAATCAAATAATTATCAAATTTTGCAAAAAATAGCTTTCTCACGAATTAAATGTGTGAGCACATTTTAAAAACTCGCGAAAAAAAAAAATAAAAATTACCCCAAACTTTGGATTTTAGTAGGATTTTATTAGTCACTCATTGTGTAATTTGTTGCCTTAGTATTTTACATCGAGACTATTTGTTTCACAGATTCATTCTCGCACTTGAAACATATGAAACAAAATGATATCATAATCTATATAAGCTAAACCTTTTTAGTCATGGAAATCGACCAGCATTTTTCGCAAGTAGCCGGCTAAAGTTGTAAAGCACAGGTTTCGAAAGGATATCAATCCCTAAAGCACAATGCAATAAACACAAAACTCCAAGCGTACTTACCGTTCAAATCTYTAAAATTCCAGTTGCTGTAGTCTTATATATTATTTCCAGTAAGTTCCCTTGCGTAATGTCGGAGAACAGTTCTTGTGGCGAAGACCAAGTTTTCTTCTTTTTGTCACAGTGAATTTCAAGTGTCAATTTGAAGAGACCAATGCTCCATCAGTAATCTTGTTATCTGAYGGTACGGTTCGAGATAGTTCCGTTAAATTAC